CGCTAAACCACGACTTGTAATGAGGCCAGCCTCAGGGTACGGGGCACATGAGAGCCCAGAATTTGGCTACGTCCAATTCTATCAGAAAGCTCCTTTCTTTTTTTTCTATCTGCTAAGGGCAGCAACAGGTTTGGCTAACATACATATAACACATTTTAAGATCATATAAATGCATTTGGGGGTAATGTTCTGCTTCCAATGACGATAGGAATGATAAGGAAGAGAGGAGAATGGTAAGAAGGTTGATATTAGAAATTGGATGCGCCCGAGAGTCGGCTGCAGCGAACACACGGAGGAGTTTATGGAGGTGGCACCCGTTTTGTTTTACGCTTTAAAACTCTTTGGGCTTATTTCCAAATGGGGGATTACATATCTGCGCTCAAACTATTATCTGGACTTAAACATGAAACTGGTCTGAACTGAAGTGGTCTGTGCTGTTCATTAATAACTAAGGTAAGACCCATGACACAATTGGAAATGTGCCTTTTACGAACTTTTGCGTTTTGTTTGAGCAAATAATGCGGGCCATGGAAAACATTCTGCTGTAGCCAAACTAATTGTGAATAAGCCGCTCTGTAGGTTCTGTTGATTTATATATGTCCATCTGATTGGGCTGAAGTCAGTGCCTCCAAACCACACCGCACGTCACTGGTCGACAAGTGGATTGCGCAGACATTTAGAATCTCATAATAGTGAAATTCCTGAAGAAAGCCCATCAACAAAACGTCTGAAAACGCTATGGCTACTTTAGAAAAGCTAGCAAGTCGCTTGGTGAAACACTAGTGGAGATGGCAGCTTTTGTTGGATTATATATTTGAGTGATATCGTACATTACTTGGGCTAAAAACAACAACTACAAACAACAGCTATTTCCCGGGATTTCCCGGGAAAGGCGTCGTCTTTTCCCGGGATTTGATACGTCTCATTTTCGGGAAAAATATTAAACCCTAATATAGACACAGACACAGGTACATATAGACACACAGAGACACAGGTACATATAGACACAGGTACATATAGACACAGAGACACAGGTACATATAGACACAGGTACATATAGACACAGAGACACATCAGGGCTGGGCAGACAATCAGGGGAACAGAACAGGAAGTAAAACTGAAATGAAACCACAGAGAATTAAAGTCAAAATAAAACCAAATACAGAAATAAAATCCACACCATGACATTACGTTGTGTTTTAATAATTCTAATCACTTCATTTCTTCACTTTCTCACTCTTCTCCCACATGTTTTAGTCTTGTCCATTGATGTAGAAGGGTCTGAAGGAGTCAGGTCCAAACTCCAGCCCACGGGCCAATCACGGCCCTCTGTGTCCTCTGCTGACACAAAGTAACCATTGAGATCATAAATTCACATCTTCTCCAGCCAACTTCAGCTCCTCCAATATAAGTATGTTGTAACTCGTAAAGCTCATGAAGTAAAAAACAAATAAAACCTCTTTTAAATTTATTTCAAATGTTATGTAAAGGAAAAAAGAAACAATATAGATGACACCAGAAAACCCACCCACGCAACGCAATCTCAACGCCCAAAAACTCTCTGACCACAGACCTCGCTCCCACTGCTCGCTCTGGGCTGAAGTCCTCGCACAGACACACACTGATTTTAAAGTAGTTTACGACACAAAGTTGTATTATATTTCTAATTTCTAAGTTGTGTGTGTTTATGAGGTGTTTAACTAAAGTCTTTCTCTCTCTTTGTGTTAAGTAAACAGTCTGAATACATGTAAAACAATCTTTGTCCAGAAAAATAATTTTTAACTGATTTAATTAATGAACTAAAGTCAAAGTCTTCTTACTTCTTAATGAGTCGACGGATGAACACACATAAGTTCAGTCCACTTCTCAAAAATCAAACAATTACACTTAAGTCTTGTGTGAAATCTACTTTAAATCTTACTTACGAGACAGAATACCACTCATAGATCCACCGGGAAATACGTTGAGATTGTCGCTTCACTAACAGTAGAAAAAAAAGCCATTTGTATTTATCATTTTTAAGAGGTCTTAAAAAAACGTATCCTAAAAGTGATGAATAATAAGTCAAATTTTGCCAAATGTTTCTTAATTATAGCACATTTTGACTGAGCCGTGAAACAATAATTTGCCAATATATACCAGATATCAGAAATATACCAGAAATGTCTATCTTGAAATGAGAAAATAAATTCAATCCACTTTAATTATACAGCACATTTAAACAACAATCACGTCTCCAAAGTGCTGCACAAACAAGTAACAAAGAAACTTATCCTTAGTAAAAAAAACAAAAACACTAAATACCATATATATTTTAAAAAACACTGAGGACCACACTGCTCTTGTCGTGTTAAAAGCCAAAGAATAAAATATAGCGTCAGTTCTTAAACTAAGACTGAGCAGCTTTGTCCCATAGAGAATCTTGTTATTAAGAAGCATGTATTACCTCATATTTAAACATTTTTTGCAGTGTACAATGCTGGTCCAGGCTTTTCATTGAGCGATTCCATTCAGACAAATTAATTTCGAATAGAAAATATCAGAGAAATGGTCACAGACATAACAAGTCCGTACAGTTATTACATCCATTAGTCTGGGTCAAGACATAGAAAAAGCCGCTGTTGGAGATTTCGCCGTAAACAGGAGCGAGTGAATGAAATGCAGGGCGTGCGGTTTGGCGCCATGGAAAGAATACACAGTTTCGGGCCAAACGGACAAAATGAAGGTGATCAGTCATAGTTTTCTGCTTTTTGACATTAAGCATATGCCTTTTTTCTCTTCTTTCTCTTTTTTCAGGGGTTCAGCTCTAAGCAATTTAGACAAATTGGCCAAAATTGCAAAGGTAAACAGAGAGAGGTCCCACAACGCTCCTCACTGCTTCTCCCTCTTTTCAGACACTGCTTTAGTAAATCCTCAATGCAATGTATTCTTGTGTCACCCTAAATCACAGCAGTAGGTATTTCAGAGGACTTTACAAAGCTGTCGATTCACCAACACAGATCAGAAAATCAAACAGTTCGATGATAAAAAACACATAGAGCCATTGGTCCATAATTGATAAAACATGAGGTAATAACTGTTTTTTGTTGTTGTCAATTTTTCCAACGGGACAAAGCCATTCAGAGTCATTACAAGAACTGTTGCTTTATTTTCTAATTCAAAGAGAGATATTTTTTGTATCTTTTTGAAACAAGATCATTTTGCGTTGTCCCTTTGGAAAATCTTGTTTTAATCTTGTCAAAATGTGCTAAAATGATGCTGCTTATTGCCAAATTTGAATATTTTTTACTTCATTTTCATTACTCTTCACGCTCTAATGTTGATAAATATCCTTAAAAACCACAATCCTTAGACACTTCTGCACCAGCGAGGACAGACTAATAAAAAAAAATCTGTTTCTTACAACTCTCTGATGACGTGTCCTTCATTGGTTTCAAAAGCACAAATTACAAATATCACAAATATCAATCTGAAATCTGATTTAATAATGTTAAAATAACCCTGGGCGTGTCTCTGAGCAGTGTGTTTCCATAAAAGTGTGATTCATAGACGCACAAACTTATACAAACAGTGACTGGAGCTTTGGCCGAGGCTCAGTGCTGAAAGGTGAGCGCAACGTCTGAGCAGGTTCAACGATTAATCACTGCAGAACGAGACTCTGAGGATTCTGTAACTACAGCAACTACAGGAACTACAGCAACTACAAGAACTACAGCAACTACAGCAACTACAGCAACTACAGGAACTACAGGAACTACAACAACTACAGCAACTACAGGAACTACAGCAACTACAGCAACTACAGGAACTACAGCAACTCCAGGAACTACAGCAACTACAGGAACTACAGCAACTACAAGAACTACAGGAACTACAGCAACTACAGCAACTACAGGAACTACAGCAACTACAAGAACTACAGCAACTACAAGAACTACAGCAACAACAAGAACTACAGCAACTACAGCAACTACAGCAACTACAGGAACTACAGCAACTACAGCAACTACAGGAACTACAGCAACTACAGCAACTACAGGAACTACAGCAACTACAGGAACTACAGGAACTACAGCAACTACAGCAGCTACAGGAACTACAGCAACTACAGGAACTACAGCAACTACAGCAACTACAGGAACTACAGAAACTACAAGAACTACAGCAACTAAAGCAACTACAGCAACTACAAGAACTACAGCAACTACAGCAACTACAAGAACTACAGCAACTACAAGAACTACAGCAACTACAGCAACTACAAGAACTACAGCAACTACAAGAACTACAGCAACTACAAGAACTACAGGAACTACAGGAACTACAGCAACTACAGCAGCTACAGGAACTACAGCAACTACAGCAGCTACAGGAACTAAGAACTACAGCAACTACAGCAGCTACAGGAACTACAGCAACTACAGCAGCTGCAGAAACTACAGGAACTACAGCAACTACAGGAACTACAGCAACTACAGTAGCTACAGCAACTACAGCAACTACAAGAACTACAGCAACTACAAGAACTACAGCAACTACAAGAACTACAGGAACTACAGCAACTACAGCAACTACAAGAACTACAGGAACTAAAGCAACTACAGCAACTACAAGAACTACAGCAACTACAAGAACTACAGCAACTATAGCAACTACAGCAACTACAAGAACTACAGCAACTACAAGAACTACAGGAACTACAGCAACTATAAGAACTATAGGAACTACAAGAACTACAGCAACTACAGCAACTATAGGAACTCTAGGAACTACAAGAACTACAGCAACTACAGCAGCTACAGGAACTACAGCAACTACAGGAACTACAGCAACTATAGGAACTACAATAACTACAGGAACTACAGGAACTACAGCAACTACAGCAACTACAGGAACTACAGCAACTACAAGAACTACAGCAACTACAAGAACTACAGCAACTACAGGAACTACAGCAACTACAAGAACTACAGGAACTAAAGCAACTATAGGAACTACAGGAACTACAACAACTACAGCAACTACAGGAACTACAGCAACTACAGCAACTACAGGAACTACAGCAACTACAGCAACTACAGCAACTACAGCAACTACAGGAACTACAGCAACTACAAGAACTACAAGAACTACAGCAACTACAGGAACTACAGCAACTACAAGAACTACAGGAACTACAGCAACTACAGCAACTACAGGAACTACAGCAACTACAAGAACTACAGCAACTACAAGAACTACAGCAACTACAGCAACTACAGGAACTACAGCAACTACAGCAACTACAGCAACTACAGGAACTACAGCAACTACAGGAACTACATCAACTACAGCAACTACAGGAACTACAGCAACTACAGGAACTACAGCAACTACAGCAGCTACAGGAACTACAGCAACTACAGGAACTACAGCAACTACAGAAACTACAAGAACTACAGCAACTACAGCAACTACAAGAACTACAGCAACTACAGCAACTACAAGAACTACAGCAACTACAAGAACTGCATGAACTACATCAACTACAAGAACTACAGCAACTACAAGAACTACAGCAACTACAGCAACTACAAGAACTACAGCAACTACAAGAACTACAGCAACTACAAGAACTACAGGAACTACAGGAACTACAGCAACTACAGCAGCTACAGGAACTACAGCAACTACAGCAGCTACAGCAACTACAGCAACTACAGCAACTACAGCAACTACAAGAACTACAGCAACTACAAGAACTACAGCAACTACAAGAACTACAGCAACTACAAGAATTACAGGAACTACAGCAACTACAGCAGCTACAGGAAGTACAGCAACTACGGGAACTACAGCAACTACAGCAACTACAGAAACTACAAGAACTACAGCAACTAAAGCAACTACAGCAACTACAAGAACTACAGCAACTACAGCAACTACAAGAACTACAGCAACTACAAGAACTGCATGAACTACATCAACTACAAGAACTACAGCAACTACAAGAACTACAGCAACTACAAGAACTACAGCAACTACAAGAACTACAGGAACTACAGGAACTACAGCAACTACAGCAGCTACAGGAACTACAGCAACTACAGCAGCTACAGGAAATACAGCAACTACAGCAGCTACAGGAACTACAGCAACTACAGCAGCTGCAGAAACTACAGGAACTACAGCAACTACAGGAACTACAGCAACTACAGCAGCTACAGCAACTACAGAAACTACAAGAACTACAGCAACTACAAGAACTACAGCAACTACAAGAACTACAGCAACTACAAGAACTACAGGAACTACAGCAACTACAGCAACTACAAGAACTACAGCAACTACAAGAACTACAGGAACTAAAGCAACTACAGCAACTACAGCAACTATAGGAACTACAAGAACTACAGCAACTACAGGAACTACAGCAACTACAGGAACTACAGCAACTACAAGAACTACAGCAACTACAAGAACTACAGGAACTACAGCAACTACAGCAACTACAAGAACTACAGCAACTACAAGAACTACAGCAACTACAAGAACTACAGGAACTAAAGCAACTACAGCAACTATAGGAACTACAAGAACTACAGGAACTACAGCAACTACAAGAACTACAGCAACTACAAGAACTACAGCAACTATAGCAACTACAGCAACTACAAGAACTACAGCAACTACAAGAACTACAGCAACTACAAGAACTACAGCAACTACAGGAACTACAGCAACTACAGCAACTATAAGAACTATAGGAACTACAAGAACTACAGGAACTAAAGCAACTACAGGAACTACAGCAACTATAGGAACTATATGAACTACAAGAACTACAGCAGTTACAGGAAGTACAGCAACTACAGGAACTACAAGAACTACAGCAACTACAAGAACTACAGCAACTACAAGAACTACAGGAACTACAGCAACTACAAGAACTACAGCAACTACACGAACTACAGCAACTACAATAACTACAGCAACTACAAGAACTACAGGAACTACAGCAACTACAGCAACTACAGAAACTACAGCAACTATAGGAACTACAAGAACTACAGCAACTACAGAAACTACAGCAACTACACTAACTACAGGAACTACAAGAACTACAGCTACTATAGGAACTACAGAAACTACAAGAACTACAGCAACTACAAGAACTACAGCAACTACAGGAACCACAGCAACTACAGGAACTACAGCAACTACAGGAACTACAGCAACTACAGGAACTACAGCAACTACAGCAACTACAGGAACTACAGCAACTACAGCAACTACAGGAACTACAGCAACTACAGCAACTACAGCAACTACAAGAACTACAGGGACTACAGCAACTACAAGAACTACAGGGACTACAGAAACTACAAGAACTACAGTGACTACAGCAACTACAAGAACTACAGCAACTACAGGAACTACAGAAACTACAGCAACTACTGCAACTACAGGAACAACTACTGGAACTACACAAACTCCAGTAGCTGCAGGATGACCAAATCGTCTCCAAAGAGTTGAACATTACTCTACTTACTTAAGAAGAAGAAGAAGAAGGTCTGTTATTAGTCCCAGAGTGGGGAAATTTCAGTTTGATGCATACACATACACACAGTACACATATACACATACACACAGTACACATATACACATACACACAGTACACATACACGCAGTACACATACACACAGTACACATATACACAGTACATATACACACACTACACATACACATACTACACATACACACTGTACACATATACACAGTACACATATACACAGTACACATACACACATACACACAGTACACATACACACTGTACACATATACACAGTACACATACACACATACACACAGTACACATACACACAGTACACATATACACAGTCCACATACACACAGTACACATATACACATGCACACAGTACACATACACACAGTACACATACACATACACAAAGTACACATATACACATTTGGGCCTAAAGACCAATGCTCTACAACTGAGCCACTTACTTACTACTTATTTATATTGCAAAAAGTGATGAGAAATGTCTCAAATTTGGGAGAATGTATTTTGATTTGAGTAGATTTCAACTGCCTTAAAATAAGATTTGCCAATATGACAAGAACAATGCAAATAATGCTAACACATGAGTAATAATTGCTTGAACTGAGTGGTTTCTAGAACATTCTGATGTGGTTAAACTAGATTCTCCAACGGGACAAAGCCATTTAGTCTAGATTAAAAAAACCGTTGCTTTATTTTCTCGTTCAAAGGAGACGCTTTGTCCCATCAGCAGATCGAGTTTTACGGCAGTGAGAATATGCTCAGAAAAGTATACATTTGTTGATCCACGACTCTACCCAGTTCAGAGTCAGTCCCAGTTCAGACTCTGTCCCAGTTCAGACTCTGTCCCAGTTCAGACTCAGTCCCAGTTCAGACTCAGTCCCAGTTCAGATTCTGTCCCAGTTCAGATTCTGTCCCAGTTCAGACTCAGTCCCAGTTCAGACTCTGTCCCAGTTCAGACTCTGTCCCAGTTCAGACTCAGTCCCAGTTCAGACTCAGTCCCAGTTCAGACTCTGTCCCAGTTCAGACTCAGTCCCAGTTCAGACTCAGTCCGACGCTCTCTGCCTGAGTAAACAGGCCACTGCCATAGCCATAATCACCTAATTGCTGCTGCCCTGCCTCATTAGAAAACAAGTCCAACTGGAAAATGGTGTTAAGTGGTTGAATTAATGAGAGCGTCATCTTGGTGCAGTCATCAGGGTCTGACTCAGGGACTCTGGGTCTGACTCAGGGACCCGTCAGTCCTGAGGAAACGGCTGCTCCATGAACTGTCAGCACCGAGACCTCCACAGAAACTCACTCAAACTCAACCCAACATGGATCGTATAGTTCAGGCACGTCAACTTCAGGCCCGAGGGCTGATTCTGGGACACGAGACCATTTTTAGTGGTTCCAGAAATGATTTAAATATCAATGCTAGCTTCATTTGTTGGCATGAAATACATAAAAATACAGTAAAACTCAACTGAGAGAGACTAAAGAGAGACTAGAGAAAGAACAGAGAGAGAGGCAAGAGAGAGAGAGCAGAGAGAGGTCAGAGAGAGAGAGGCGAGAGAGAGACTAGAGAAAGAACAGAGAGAGGGACAAGAAATAAAGACCAGAGAGCAGAGAGAAAAGCCAGGGAGAAAGACCAGAGAGAGACCAGAGAGAGAGACCAGAGGGAGACCAGGGAGAGAAAAGAAAGAGGCCTGAGAGAGAGACCAGAAAGAGAGACCAGAGAGAGACCAGAGAGAGGCCAGACAGAGACCAGAGAGAGACCAGAGAGAGGCCAGAGAGAGACCAGATAGAGGTCAGAGAGAGACCAAAGAGAGACCAGAGAGAAACCAGAGAGAGGCCAGAGAGAAACCAGAGAGAAACCAGAGAGAGACCAGAGAGAGACCAGAGAGAGAGGCCAGAGAGAGACCAGAGAGAGGCCTGAGAGAGGCCAGAGAGAGACCAGAGAGAGGTCAGAGGGAGAGACAAGGGAGATACCAGAGAGAGGCCAGAGAGAAACCAGAGAGAAACCAGAGAGAGACCAGAGAGAGACCAGAGAGAGGCCAGAGAGAGACCAGAGAGATACCAGAGAGAGAGAGACCAGAGAGAGACCAGAGAGAGACCAGAGAGAGAGGCCAGAGAGACCAGAGAGATACCAGAGAGAGAAAGACCAGAGAGAGACCAGAGAGAGACCAGAGAGAGACCAGAGAGAGACCAGAGAGAGACCAGAGAGAGAGGCCAGAGAGAGACCAGAGAGATACCAGAGAGAGAGAGACCAGAGAGAGACCAGAGAGAGACCAGAGAGAGACCAGAGAGAGACCAGAGAGAGGCCTGAGAGAGGCCAGAGAGAGGCCAGAGAGAGACCAGAGAGAGACCAGAGAGAGAGGCCAGAGAGAGACCAGAGAGAGACCAGAGAGAGATACTAAAGAGAGGCCAGAAAGAGACCAGAGAGCGAGTTCTGGTTTGGCGTTCTAATTTCACCCTCAACAATAACAGTTTTAAGGGAAACCCATTCTATTCTTTCAGCCCCTGATCAGTTCATATTGGACCCTGACCAATATGAGTTTGACACCCCTTCATATACCTGCTGTGTGTCTGACCAAAGAGACCACCGTCACCTTGAAGACCCCTGCTTCAAAACGCACAGGACGGAGTAGATCTCTGGTGCATGATAAGGTCTGACAGTGAGTGGCGTCCTGATGGCCCGGAGGACCGCGGGGACGACCTCATTATTGTAGCCACCTGCCTCTGAGCGGCTCCAGGCTCATAACTCATGGCCCCAACGTTACTGTCTGATGACTTCATTATGTTTGCTCCCACAGTGCCGCATTCCTCACTGCTGCCCCCTGCCCTGGACTCACTGCTGCAAACTGCCGCTGACCGGACTCCAATATCGGCGGACAATATTGAAGAGAAAAATGCTGTGTTTTTCACGATTTTGATTGTTTTTGTTAGGACTGGGAGAGAGAATGTGTGATATGTGCAAAACAAAACCTGGTGGAACCTGGAGAGAAGCCACAAGAAACCAGAAGGTAAGACATTGAACATTCTCAGGGCCCTCTGAGAACCTTCACTTCAATGTATTATACAGCAGTTCTCGGAGGACTTGACAAAGCTGTTGACTTTCAAACAGAAAATCAAACCATTCAAACACCAGAAAAACAATGGTAAAAAAAACAGAGACATTGGTTCATAAGCGGCAGAGACCAATGTCCATAACTGTTTCAAGTGTCCTGTCCTTAGATCCTCCTGTATATCAACAAGGTAAAACTTTTATCAAAAGAACCCAGTGCGGATTAAGTGATAAACCTCAGGGAGGCCAGCATTGAGGGAGGCATCCGCTCCCACGGACCAATGGGCTGTAGACCCAGGACTGAGGCTGTAGATCCAGGACTGAGGCTGTAGATCCAGGACTGAGGCTGTAGATCCAGGACTTAAGCTGTAGATCCAGGACTGAGGCTGTAGACCCAGGAACAGAACAAACACTGAGGCTGTAGATCCAGGACTGAGGCAAAAGTGAATTGTGTCCCAAGCAGTTGAAGTTGAGTTTTTGGCCTAAAACCTTCTCTCACGTCTGTTGTAGTCTGCTCTACATGCAGCTCTCCCAGACAGAGCTCACTCTCGGGGCTGTTATGGTCGGATGACGCAACATGATGAAAGAGCGGTGCGGTCTGGAATGTGCATTCCAGGATCTGTTCGCACAAACGCTAAACCAGAAACTACTGCTCTGGCTTCATCCTCTCCCACACAGAGACCAGAGGGAGACCAGAGGGAGACCAGAGGGAGACCAGAGGGAGACCAGAGGGAGACCAGAGGGAGACCAGAGAGAGACCAGAGAGAGACCAGAGAGAGAACAGAGAGAGACCAGAGGGAGACCAGAGAGAGACCAGAGAGAGACCAGAGAGAGACCAGAGGGAGACCAGAGAGAGACCAGAGGGACACCAGAAGGACCAGACAGAGACCAAAGAGAGACCAGAGAGAGACCAGAGAGAGACCAGACAGAGACCAGAGAGCCACCCGAGAGAAACCAGAGAGAGAGACTCTTATACTGTCTGATAACAGCCCAGAAAGCTCTTCCAATGCATTTGATGAATCATTTATAAGATTATGAACAGTGTTGGAGTAAAAACACTGCCCTGGGGTACTCCACTTCATAGCTAGACGTAAATTCTTCAGTGTCAATAGGTCTGTCTATAATAATACATATAGTGCAAAGTTACATACATATAGGGCAGGATAAGTAGATTTTTCCGTGATTAGCTGAATTACTAGGTTTGCACTTCCATGTCTCATTCCCACGTCTCTCTTGTCGGTCCATTAAGGGTGCTTGCAGTGTCCCATCAGAATGAGAGTCAGACTGGAGGAAGCTCAGTCTCACTCTCTGTAATCTCCCATCCCTCGTTCTGCTCGGACACAGATCTGCTGGACAGGATGCACTCACACTAAATCCTCTAATGCCTCCACACGTGTTATCTCGACGTAAACTTTATAAATCACAAGTGTCTGTCAGTACGAACTAAAGCAGCCTTGAGGTGTGCGTTTGTGTGAAGTTTATGTCGGAGGCGGTTCAGAGGTTATCTCCGGCTCATCTGTGCAATAACTCAAAGAATGTGACGCGTACAGAGTGTGTTTTAATATAACTAATGTGTGTGTTAAACCAGGGGTCGTATTCTCAGACTGGCCTCCTCTCCTCTCCTCCCTCCTCTCCTCTCTCCTCTCCTGCCTCCTCTTCCTGCCTCCTCTCCTGCCTCCTCTCCTGCCTCCTCTCCTGTCTCCTCTCCTGCCTCCTCTCCTGCCTCCTCTCCTCTCCTTCTCTCCTGCCTCCTCTCCTCCCTTCTCTCCTGCCTCCTCTCCTCTCCTGCCTCTCTCTCCTCCCTCCTCTCCTCTCTCCTCTCCTGCCTCCTCTCCTGCCTCCTCTTCCTGCCTCCTCTCCTCCCTCCTCTCCTCCCTCCTCCCTCCTCTCCTCTCTCCTCTCCTGCCTCCTCTCCTCCTCTCCTCTCCTGCCTCCTCTCCTCCCTCCTCTCCTCTCTCCTCTCCTGCCTCCTCTCCTCCCTCCTCTCCTGCCTCCTCTCCTCTCTCCTCCTCTTCCTGCCTCCTCTCCTGCCTCCTCTTCCTGCCTCCTCTCCTGCCTCCTCTCCTGTCTCCTCTCCTGCCTCTCTCTCTCCTGCCTCCTCTCCTCTCTCCTCTCCTGCCTCCTCTCCTCCTCCTTCTCTCCTGCCTCCTCTCCTCCCTCCTCTCCTCTCTCCTCTCCTGCCTCCTCTTCCTCCCTCCTCTCCTGCCTCCTCTCCTGCCTCCTCTCCTCCCCCTCTCTCCTGCCTCCTCTCCTCCCTCTCTCCTGCCTCCTCTCCTCTCCTGCCTCCTCCTCCCTCCTCCCTCTCTCCTGCCTCCTCTCCTCTCCTCCCTCCTCCTCCTCTCTCCTCTCCTGCCTCCTCTCCTCCTCTCTTCCTCCTCTCCTTCCTCCTCTCCTGCCTCCTCTCCTGCCTCCTCTCCTGCCTCCTCTCCTCCCTTCTCTCCTGCCTCCTCTCCTCCCTTCTCTCCTGCCTCCTCTCCTCTCCTGCCTCCTCTCCTCTCTCCTCTCCTGCCTCCTCTCCTCCTCTCCTCCTCCTCTCCTCTCCTCCTCTCCTGCCTCCTCTCTCCTGCCTCCTCTCCTGCCTCCTCTCCTCCCTTCTCTCCTGCCTCCTCTCCTCCTCTCCTCTCCTCCTCCTCTCCTCCCTTCTCTCCTGCCTCCTCTCCTCCTCTCCTTCCTCCTCTCCTGCCTCCTCTCCTTCCTCCTCTCCTCCTCTCCTCTCCTGCCTCCTCTCCTCCCTTCTCTCCTGCCTCCTCTCCTCCTCTCCTGCCTCCTCTCCTGCCTCCTCTCCTCCCTCCTTTCCTCTCTCCTCCCTCCTCTCTCTCCCTCCTCTCCTGCCTCCTCTCCTCCTGCCTCCTCTCCTGCCTCCTCTCCTCCCTCCTCTCCTCTCTCCTCTCCTGCCTCCTCTCCTGCCTCCTCTTCCTGCCTCCTCTCCTCCCTCCTCTCCTCCCTCCTCCCTCCTCCCTCCTCTCCTCCTCTCCTGCCTCCTCCTCCTCTCCTCTCCTGCCTCCTCTCCTCCCTCCTCTCCTCTCTCCTCTCCTGCCTCCTCTCCTCCCTCCTCTCCTCCCTTCTCTCCTGCCTCCTCTCCTCTTCTGCCTCCTTTCCTCCTCTCCTCCCTCCTCTCCTCTCTCCTCTCCTGCCTCCTCTCCTCCCTCCTCTCCTCCCTTCTCTCCTGCCTCCTCTCCTCTTCTGCCTCCTTTCCTCCTCTCCTGCCTCCTGTCCTGCCTCCTCTCCTCTCCTGCCTCCTCTCCTGCCTCCTCTCCTGCCTCCACTCCTCTCTCCTCTCCTGCCTCCTCTCCTGCCTCCTCTCCTCCTCTCCTTCCTCCTCTCCTTCCTCCTCTCCTGCCTCCTCTCCTGCCTCCTCTCCTGCCTCCTCTCCTCCCTTCTCTCCTGCCTCCTCTCCTCCCTTCCCTCCTGCCTCCTCTCCTGCCTCCTCTCCTCTCCTGCCTCCTCTCCTCCCTTCTCTCCTGCCTCATCTCCTCCTCTCCTTCCTCCTCTCCTGCCTCCTCTCCTCCTCTCCTCTCCTGCCTCCCTCCTCCCTGCTCTCCTGCCTCCTCCCTCCTCCTCTCCTCCTCCTCTCCCTCCTTCCTCTCTCCTCTCCTGCCTCCTCTCCTGCCTCCTCTCCTCCCTCCTTTCCTCTCTCCTCCCTCCTCTCCTCTCTCCTCTCCTGCCTCCTATCCTCCTCTCCTCTCCTGCCTCCTCTCCTCCCTCCTCTCCTCTCTCCTCTCCTGCCTCCTCTCCTCCCTCCTCTCCTGCCTCCTCTTCCTGCCTCCTCTCCTCTCTCCTCCCTCCTCTCCTCTCTCCTCTCCTGCCTCCTCTCCTCCTCTCCTCTCCTGCCTCCTCTCCTCCCTCCTCTCCTCTCTCCTCTCCTGCCTCCTCTCCTCCCTCCTCTCCTGCCTCCTCTCCTCCCTTCTCTCCTGCCTCCTCTCCTCTTCTGCCTCCTTTCCTCCTCTCCTGCCTCCTCTCCTGCCTCCTCTCCTCTCCTGCCTCCTCTCCTCCCTTCTCTCCTGCCTCCTCTCCTCCCTTCTCTCCTGCCTCCTCTCCTGCCTCCTCTCCTGCCTCCTCTCCTCCCTCCTTTCCTCTCTCCTCTCCTGCCTCATCTCCTTTCCTCTCTCCTCCCTCCGCCTGCTCTCTCCTCTCCTGCCTCCTCTCCTCTCCTGCCTCCTCTCCTCCCTCCTCTCCTCTCTCCTCTCCTGCCTCCTCTCCTCCTCTCCTCCCTCCTCTCCTCTCTCCTCTCCTGCCTCCTCTCCTCCCTCCTCTCCTGCCTCCTCTTCCTGCCTCCTCTCCTTCCTCCTCTCCTCTCTCCTCTCCTGCCTCCTCTCCTCTCCTGCCTCCTCTCCTCCCTCCTCTCCTGCCTCCTCTCCTCCCTCCTCTCCTGCCTCCTCTTCCTGCCTCCTCTCCTGCCTCCTCTCCTGCCTCCTCTTCCTGCCTCCTCTCCTTCCTCCTCTCCTCCCTCCTCTCCTCTCTCCTCTCCTGCCTCCTCTCCTCTCCTGCCTCCTCTCCTCCCTCCTCTCCTGCCTCCTCTCCTCCCTCCTCTCCTGCCTCCTCTTCCTGCCTCCTCTCCTGCCTCCTCTCCTGCCTCCTCTCCTGCCTCCTCTCTTCCTCTCCTTCCTCCTCTCCTTCCTCCTCTCCTGCCTCCTCTCCTGCCTCCTCTCCTGCCTCCTCTCCTGCCTCCTCTCCTCCCTTCTCTCCTGCCTCCTCTCCTCCTCTCCCTTCTCTCCTGCCTCCTCTCATATTCTGCCTCCTTTCCTCCTCTCCTGCCTCCTCTCCTGCCTCCTCTCCTGCCTCCTCTCCTCCTTCCTTTCCTCTCTCCTCTCCTCCCTCCTCTCCTCTCTCCTCTCCTGCCTCCTCTCCTCCCTCCTCTCCTCTCTCCTCTCCTGCCTCCTCTCCTCCCTCCTCTCCTGCCTCCTCTCCTCCCTCCTCTCTCCTCCCTCCTCTCCTGCCTCCTCTTCCTGCCTCCTCTCCTCCTCCTGCCTCCTCTCCTGCCTCCTCTCCTTGTCCTTTGTGCGTTCTCCTCCTGTGTCCTCCTCCTGTCCTTGTCTTCATGGATGTGCAGCACCTCCCTGCTCGGAGCCTGATAAGCCCTGATGATGGATGCCTTCTGTCGCCAGCACAAGCGCCGGGCTATCAGTGAGAACGAACAAGAAATTATGAACGGGAGAATTTGACTTAAGGGAGCGGAGATAAGGAATGATACAGAGATGCAGCCGAGAGGGAGACAAACGACCGGGGAAGGAGGCGGGAGGCGGGAGGCGGGAGGCGGGAGGCGGGAGGCGGGAGGAAGGAGGCTGAGAAGGAGAGAGCAAACTAATACAATAACCTGTTCATTATTTGATGCTAAACTGACATTTCTTTGAACATACCTAGAGTTATTCATTCACATGTTTCAGATTCCAGTTGGGGGTGTCAACAATCAAAGTTGGTCAAGTTACTTCAATAACAAAGTACATGTATGATTACTGTAATGTTATTCCATGCTACAATTATGATACAATATTACTGTCTCTGTGTTATCATTGCACAACTACTGGATTACTCTGAGGTACACACTACTTTCCCAAAATATATAATTACAAACTAAATGTGGCTTATGATGCTATTGTGTGAGGTTGACAGAGCTTTTGGCTTGAACATAGAGTTCCATGTGTATAATGAAGTTCTTTATTATTATTATTATTACCACGTTACAGCAAAAGCCAGACATAACTATAACACTGGGTAACAAAAAAATATTTTTAGAAAATAGTCCAGGGTTTTCAGCTGAATCAACTAATGTTGATGCTCTGAGTCTGAAAATGACCTTGGTTTTTCTCAATCAGGTCAGGATTTTTTGCTACAGAAATATTTTTTTAAATCAATTTTGCGTAAAAAACTAATTTCTGCGGATCATCAACTGAGAAACCCTTGACGTTTTTTCCGTTTTCATTAAGAAATAAAAGTCAACGTATCCAAAGTCATTCAGTTTTTATTTACTCCATCAAATTTGATAAGCAGAATTCATAATAACGTAGACGTACATAATCCGTAACACTATGACTGTATCTCACAAAGTTGACCTGATAGAGCAAAATGCATGTGATATTCGGACTCAGAACACCAACATAAGTCTGAATCAGCTGAGAAACCCCTGACCATTTTTTGGCTGCTTGTGTAATTCCATTCATTTCATCACACATTACCACCAACACTGTTTTTACATATTTACCGGTACAGACTAACATGTCAAATTGGATGAAACTTCACTATGATTCGATTTCTACTACACAATGACTGTTTATTTAAGCTATCTTTCCCACACATTATACCATAAAGCCTACAGGACTTTCTTCTGTATGTTTCCGTCTCTTTCTCACACAACCCTCACTGCCATCGACTCATACACACTTTCCACAACTTTAAAAGCCCAGAACAACATTAACCATCCTGCAGGGCACATGTGCACATTACAGCTGCACTTTTCTCCAGTAAAAATGTAAAAACTCTGCTCGAATAGCTGCGATATGTTTCCGTACAGTATGTATTTGGGGCAAAACAAGTGAACATGGGAACAGTAGGATACAGCGACTCTTTAACATGTCCAAAAGCAGCTTTAACAAGGCTCAAAGATGCAATTTGTCCAAAAGTTTGCCTCGAACTCAAACCCCCGTACAGCGTTCCTCCTATATGCAGTTTTAACCACCGCTGTGTAGCTGCGTTTTGTTTTGGCCTGAGCCGTGATTACGCTGGGTCGCAGTAAAAGCCGCCCCTCAGTGCCATAAACCCCAGCCTTTGCGTACGTTGTGTTTTTTTACCTCTCAGCGAAAACAATGCAGCTCTTCCATTGTTTGTGTAATGAGTTGGTTTCTGCGGCTCGGCTTCACGCGGTTCGGCCCCGTGTTGTTGGACGGCAGCGAGAGACGCAATTAAAATCATTGTTTCATTAAGGCCTTTGCTGCGAGCAGGAGCCCAGACCACAACACAGTGCTTTGACGCTTTGCATTATGGGAGGGAAGGGGGGGAGGGCAGAGGGTACACATGTAGAGAGAGGGGTGCCCAAACTTTCCAGACAGGGACCCCCATCAAACAGCAATTAGAAAATAAATGTGTTGTTGTATCGACCTAAATCACAACAGTAGATTTCTGAATGCGCAGGTTCAGACTGAAAGTGCCGGCCAATCTCACAGCGCTGCCAGCCTCGAGCCTCAGCCAATCAAACAGCTCTGCCAGCCTCGAGCCTCAGCCAATCAAACAGCTCTGCCAGCCTCGAGCCTCAGCCAATCAAACAGCTCTGCCAGCCTCGAGCCTCAGCCAATCAAACAGCTCTGCCAGCCTCGAGCCTCAGCCAATCACACAGCCCGGCCAGCCTCCTGCCAACCCTCTCACAGCAAAGCGGGCAGTTTAAAAGGCAGCCACTTCCTGACAAGCAACGCTTCCTGAGGCTCTTAAACACCCACCACCTCCCCCAGCACCCCCTCTAGGCTCCTGTTCTGGCTCTGGCTCTAGGCTCCTGCCCTGGCTCCGGCTCTGGCTCTAGGCTCCTGTTCTGGCTCTGGCTCTAGGCTCCTGTTCTGGCTCTGGCTCTAGGCTCCTGCCCTGGCTCCGGCTCTGGCTCTGGCTCTAGGCTCCTGCCCTGGCTCTTGCCCTGGCTCCGCCTCTGGCTCTGGCTCTAGGCTCCTGCTCTGGCTCCTGCTCCGCCTACACCCCATTCACACCATACTCTAGCCACCACCAGTGCATGACCCCGGGGGATCTGAGATCATCTTCAGCTGACACTGCCGGGGTCAATGCGCCAAACAAATAAATCATTTTTAATGTATTAATTGTTTCTTTGGTCTCTTCAGATTGAATATAGTATGTATTAAACATATTATTGAGTTCGATTTTATAAATAAAGTTCCCAACTGCAAATATCCCAACAACCAAACATTCATTTGAAACGTTTCATAAACTCTGAGGAACATCATATCCATGGATCTCATAAACACACATATACAGTGTACACATAATCATGCATAGAAACATGAGTACTACCGGTGCATGTGTTCTGACCCAACATGGACACATTACATTTATAGACCATAGCACTTCTGTATTGCAGCAAAAACCAGGACGGATCAAATATATAAAGCAGGAAAACCAAAAAGTTGACCAGCCCTGGTATAGATCTTTTCGCTCTCACTATAGTCCAATCCAGACAAATCCAGAACACATGATGTAGGTCCTAAGAACGGGGTGGATATTTAAACCAAAGCTGTAGCTCTATACTTCCCTGCTCGCTCCTCAGCTGCGTCTGATCCATCACAGATAAAGCCGTCAAGTGTCATCTGCTTCTCACTTCCTGGTCCTGGACCATGTGACCCCAGAGCGAGCCTGCTGTTCCCCTGGTACTGTGAGCGGTGGCTGCTGCTGGTGCTGATGGCTTCCTCAGATGGGACCACCCTGACCCCGCTGAGCGCTCACGTATCCGTCTGTATCTGCAGCTTGTTTACTCTGTCACTCTAGCTCTGCCTCTGCCGCGACACCCCTCTCCTGCTCATTTCCGCCCCGGCCCAAACCCTCGGCCCAGTTTGAACCAGGATCCACGGGGAGAGATATTGGATCGGACCAGTGGCCGGCTCGTGTTTTGATGTCGGATGCCTTTGTAAGAAGGTACGAAGGTGCGGTGACGTTCATTTGTCTTTGCTATTCGTCATTTAAACATTTAGATTAAGTGAATGAATGTGTGTGTGTGTGTGTGTGTGTGTGTGTGTGCAGGGACCAGACCAGATGCAAAGCAGAGGGCTCCAGACCCAATGGAACAAACACACACACACACACACACACACGGACACACAAACTGCCATCTCAATTTGAAAACATATCTTCATGCATATATATATATACACACACACATGTATTACACGTATACACATATCTATACTTATATATACACACATACACACATTAGTATTAACAGGAGTTTTATACAGTAGTATTAAAGCTCTCAGCGTGCCGTACAAAGGGGGCTCACTCATTCACAATTTACAATGTTATAAAGCATTATGTGTTGCTAATACATGGTTTATTTAAATAGTCATGTAGAGGACATAGACAAAGCCTCTGCCTTGAGTCGTGCTGCTATCGTGGAGGTGAACAGATGTTATATGCACTGTATATGGTCCAATGTGTTCAACGTCTCGCTTCAGTCTTCACCGTGTGGCGAGACTGGAACATTATCTGAACTCTGAACATTGTTAAGTGCTATATCATTAAAGATTACTTACTTATTTATTAGCAGGAAGATTAGAAATGACGGAATTGAACCATATTGACTTTAGACACCAGCGACTATTTGTAACTCATGTTAACTCCATTTCAATGTTTCAAGCTGCTCCAGGACACAAAATATCGATCAACCAGCACAATGTTCTCCGCACTTTATCCGGCAATGCACAGCGGCCAAAAAACCCATCCAACTTCAAAAACCACAGACTCAATGCAAATCCACCTCCAGCAAACTCCACACTAACCCTTTTCCCACCACAATTATAAAGCCATCCATCCATCCATTTTCTTCCGCTTTATCCGTTGCCGGGTCGCGGGGGCAGCAGTCTAAGCAGAGACGCCCAGACTTCCCTATCCACACACACTTCCTCCAGCTCGTCCGGGGGGACCCCAAGGCGTTCCCAGGCCAGCTGAGAGACATAGTCTCTCCCGCGTGTCCTGGGTCTTCCCCGGGGCCTCCTCCCGGTGGGACGTGCCCGGAACACCTCCCCAGGGAGGCGTCCAGGAGGCATCCTGAACAGATGCCCGAGCCACCTCAACTGGTTCCTCTCGACGTGGAGAAGCAGCGGCTCTACTCCGAGCTCCTCCCGTGTGACTGAGCTCCTCACCCTATCTCTAAGGGAGCGCCCAGCCACTCTGCGGAGGAAGCTCATTTCGACCGCTTGTATCCGCGATCTCGTTCTTTCGGTCATTACCCACAGCTCATGACCATAGGTGAGGGAGGGAACGAAGATTGACCGGTAAATCGAGAGCTTCGCCTTTCGGCTCAGCTCCCTCTTTACACACAACGGTCCGATACAGAGACCGCATCACTGCGCACGCTGCACTGATCCGCCTGTCAATCTCACGCTCCATCCTTCCCTCACTCGTGAACAAGACCCCGAGATACTTGAACTCCTCCACTTGAGGAAGGACCTCTCCACCCACCTGGAGAGGGCAAGGCACCTTTTTCCGGTCGAGCACCATGGCCTCGGATTTGGAGGTGCTGATTCTCATCCCAGCCGCTTCACACTCGGCTGCAAACCGTCCCAGTGCATGCTGCAGGTCCTGGTTTGTTGGAGCCAGCAGGACGACATCATCCGCAAAAAGTAGAGATGAAATCCTGTGGTTCCCGAACCGGACCCCCTCCGGCCCCTGGCTGCGCCTAGAAATTCTGTCCATAAATACAGTGAACAGAACCGGTGACAAAGGGCAGCCTTGGCGGAGGCCAACATGCACCGGGAACAGGTCTGAATTACTGCCGGCAATGCGAACACAGCTCTGACTCCGGTCATACAGGGACCGGACGGCCCTCAGCAGAAGACCCCGGACCCCGTACTCCCGGAGGACCCCCCAAAGGACACCCCGGGGAACACGGTCGAACGCCTTCTCCAAATCCACAAAGCACATGTGGACAGGTTGGGCGAACTCCCATGAACCCTCGAGTATCCGATGGAGAGTATAGAGCTGGTCCAGTGTTCCGCGACCGGGACGAAAACCACACTGCTCCTCCTGAATCCGAGATTCGACCATCGGACGTAGCCTCCTCTCCAGTACCTTGGAGTAGACCTTACCGGGGAGGCTGAGGAGTGTGATCCCACGATAATTGGAACACACCCTCCGGTCCCCCTTCTTGTAGAGAGGGACCACCACCCCGGTCTGCCACTCCATTGGCACCGCCCCCGATCGCCACGCGATGTTGCAGAGACGTGTCAGCCAAGACAGTCCTACAACATCCAGAGACTTTAGATAGTCAGGACGGATCTCATCCACTCCCGGCGCCTTGCCACCATGGAGGCTGCCAACCACCTTGGTGACCTCGGCCAGGGAGATGGAAGTGTCCGCCCCAACATCCTCAGCCTCTGCCTCCTGGACGGAGGACGTGACGGGGGGATTGAGGAGAACCTCGAAGTATTCCTTCCACCGCCCGACAATATCCCCGACAATATCCCCAGTCGAGGTCAGCAGCCCTCCACCCGCACCATACACGGTGTTGGCAAAGAACTGCTTCCCCCTCCTGAGGCGCCGGACGGTTTGCCAGAACCTCTTCGAGGCCGACCGATAGTCATGCTCCATGGACTCTCCGAACTCCTCCCAGTCCCGGGTTTTTGCCTCTGCAACAGCCCGGGCCGCGGCACGTTTGGCCTGCCGGTACTGGACAGCTGCCTCAGGGGTCCCACGAACCATCATTGCTCGATAGGACTCCTTCTTCAGCCTGACGGCATCCCTTACTGCCGGTGTCCACCACCGGGTTCGGGGATTGCCGCCGGGACCAGCACCAGAGACCTTGCGACCACAGCTACGAGCCGCCGCATTGGCGATAGAGGAAGAGAACATGGTCCACTCGGACTCGATGTCCCCCTCCTCTGCCGGGACCTGGGAGAAGCTCTCCCGGAGGTGTGAGTTGAAAGTCCGTCTGACAGGGGGCTCAGCAAGACGTTCCCAGCAGACCCTCACTATACGCTTGGGTCTGCCAGGTCTGACCGGCTTCTTCCCCTGCCAGCGGATCCAACTCACGACCAGGTGATGATCGGTTGACAGCTCCGCCCCTCTCTTCACCCGAGTGTCCGAGACACGCGGTCGAAGCTCAGATGATACGACAACAAAGTCGATCATCGACCTCCGGCCTAGGGTGTCCTGGTGCCACGTGCACTGATGGACACCCTTGTGCTCGAACATGGTGTTTGTGATGGACAGGCCGTGACTGGCACAGAAGTCCAACAACTGAACACCGCTCGGGTTCAGATCAGGGGGGCCGTTCTTCCCGATCACCCCTCTCCAAGTGTCACTGGCATTTCCCACATGGGCGTTGAAGTCCCCCAGGAGAATAACGGAGTCCCCGGGCGGTGCACTGTCCAGTACCCCTCCCAAGGACTCCAAGAAGGACGGGTACTCTGCACTACCGTTAGGCCCGTAGGCCGTCACAACAGTGAGAGACTTGTCCCCCACCCGGAGGCGGAGGGACGCGACCCTCTCATTCACCGGGGAGAACTCCAACACGTGGCTGCTGAGATGGGGGGCAATGAGTATGGCCACCCCAGCTCGCCGCCTCTCCCCGCGGGAAACACCAGAAAAGTGGAGCGTCCAACCCCTCTCAAGAAGTTGGGTTCCAGAGCCCAAGCTGTGTGTGGAGGTGAGGCCGACTATCTCTAGTCGGTATCGCTCAACCTCCCCCACAAGCTCGGGCTCCTTCCCCCCCAGTGAGGTGACGTTCCACGTCCCAAGAGCCAGATGTTGGGTGTGTGGACTGGGTCGTCGAGGTCTCCGCCTTCGACTGCTACCCAGTCCTCGCTGCACCACGCCACCACGGACCCCTCTGCAGGTGGTGGGCCCACAGGAGGGACTGCCCACGTCATCCCTTCGGGCTGAGCCCGGCCGGGCCCTGTGGGCTAAGGCCCGGCCACCAGGCGCTCGCTTGCGAGCCCCGACCCCAGGCCTGGCTCCAGGGTGGGGCCCCGGCTGCGCCATGCCGGGCGACGTCTCGGTTTTCGTTGTCGTGCTGTCCATGCAATTATAAAGCTTCAGCGTAAATTCAGACTGAACCGAAAGAGATGTCGTGGCCTCCTACAGAGTCCTCCTTCTACATCTACACCTGAGCTCTGCAGCTTCAAGGTTCTGATCGAGCAGAAACCCACCTCCTCCCCATTCCCAATTACCGCCTCTTCAGTGTTGAGTATTGTCAAGTCTTCGGCTCAGCTTTCTTCTCCACCAGGGTCTAGGTCCAGGGTCTGGGTCCAGGGTCTAGGTCCAGGGTCTAGGTTCAGGGTCTAGGTCCAGGGTCTAGGTCCAGGGTCTAGGTCCAGGGTCTTCAAAAGCTCATAATTTCTAATAACCTCCCTCCTGCAGACGTCGTGCAGTATTCCTCCCGGGGTCAAATTCCAAAGATTATGGAATATTTCATGTTAAAATGCAAAAAATATACTAGTGCCATTTTATGCGCCTGCTATTTTCAAAATGGATCTGTTTTTTTATTTTTACCGTTGAATAATAAACACTAAAATTTTCAGTCACAGCCACGGCTTGGCTTCAATGTGCCCCAACACCAACCCCCAGGAGCTCGGCCAAATGGATGGAGCTTTGAGTAGAGACGTTGCTCCTCTGATATTGTCGGTCCCACTGCGAAAGGGGAAGACCCGGATCCCACTGGAATGACAGTCCATGACCCCCCCCAGATGAGCCGGAGGAACAGAAGGCCTCCATGCTCAGACTGCTGCCAGCACAGTCCGCTCTGGTGTCAAAACAACATTATGACAAAAGTTGAGATAGTGTTATTTTGAGAAGCTGAGTGCATTCCAGAGCAGCCCCCCCGCCGCCGCCACAGCCCCCCCGCAGCAGCGACCCCCCCGCCGCCACAGAGCCTCTCTCCTGCGGCGAGATGTGCGAGCACCAAGAGGCTTCCATCAAATTGGTAAAAGCCACAGCTGCAAATAAAACACACACACACACTTCTTTTACAATAGCATAACAATCACCAGACTCAGATTCAGTTTCTTTGCCATTTGCAGTAAAACCACATTGGAATACACGTGCGAAAGTCCCCAGAGTGCACAGTGGGCAAGTACATACATAAAACAAGCTAAAAGGAACAGAAACCATTGCCATTAACTAAATTAAAACAGCATCAATGCAAGTCCAAGATCATTAAAGTGATTTGTTCGGACTCATAACAGCAGAAAGAAGCTGTTAGCATGTTAGCATGTCCAGATGTCCTGCAGCCAATGATATCTTCTGCCAGAGGGAAGAAGCTGGAACATGGCTTTTCCAAGGGCCAGAAGAGTCATTGATTATTCAGTGAGCAGGATTTAAGTCTGGATTCATAAAGAGCCTCCAGAACAGACAGATCACAGTTCTCTTTCTGAACGGAGAAACTCTCTCTCTGGTCTCTCTTTCTTGCTGAGAAGCGAAAGTGCAATCTACTCAGCCACCGTGCCACCCTGTGCTCTCTCTCTCTGCTCTCTCTCTCTTTGGTCTCCTCTCTCTCTGGTCTCTCTCTCTGCCTCTCTCTGGTTTCTCTCTGGTCTCTCTCTCTGGTCTCTCTCCCACTGTTCCCTCTCTGCTCTCTCTCTCTCTGGTCTCTCTCTGGTCTCTCTCTCTTCCTCTCTCTGGTTTCTCTCTGGTCTCTCTCTCTGGTCTCTCTCCCACTGTTCCCTCTCTGTTCTCTCTCTCTGGTCTCTCTCCCACTGTTCCCTCTCTGTTCTCTCTCTCTCTCTGGTCTCTCTCTCTGGTCTCTCTCCCACTGTTCCCTCTCTGCTCTCTCTCTTTCTGGTCTCTCTTTCTGGTCCCTCTCTCTGGTCTCTCTCTCTGGTCTTTCTCTCTGGTCTCTCTCTCTGGTCTCTCTCCCACTGTTCCCTCTCTGCTCTCTCTCTCTCTCTGGTCTCTCTCTGGTCTCTGTCTCTGCTCCCTCTGTTCTCTCCTTTTCTCTGCTATCTCTCTCTCTGCTCGCTCTCTCCGGTCTCTCTCCTTCTCTCTTGTCTCTCTCCCTCTCTCTGCTCTCTCTCACCACACAGACACAGAACCAACGAGCAGATTCATATTTTTCATGTGTTTTTAATGAATCCAAAAACAATGTATGTACAGCCCCCAAAACACATATTGTTTCTTGCAACCAAGTCTCCGGGATCATTGTGTAACTTAAGTACAGTGTTAGCCAACCTCTGCTTTCATTACCCCTCCCCGTCCCCCCCGTCCTGCCCCACTGAGCTGCCCTGTCGAGGCTGCAGTCCATCACTTCTTTTGCCTCATGTAGCTCCATCACAGATAAACACTTTGGATTCGCCGTGTGACATCTCATGCAGCTCAAATCAACAACACATGCCGCCCTCGCGTACGAAGGGGAGAAATACTTGACATACTTTTGTTCTTTGTTTTGCCCGGACTAAACTCTTTGACAGCTCAATTGTGTGAAATCCCTTAAATTTCTGCTTTCAAAATATTGTCAGTTGCGTAGAACAGAATGTGAAGCTGAAGCCGAGGGTCGGATGAAAAAGAGCTGCCAGAGTTTGATCGGGAAAAGTTCGCCAAAAGTTTATTTTTGACAAACGAGTCAAGATGTGGGAGAAGTGGATGGTGAGCCCCGTGTTTACTTGGAACGCTCTGGAAACAGTTGTTGTTTTGTGTTTTACAATAGTCATTTTTCTTGCTTTTTTCTTGCTACAGTATATGTGTTACTGAACCTATTGATGGTTTTGCACTGATCCAGACCAGAGCAGAGAGAATGGTCCCAATCAAGAGGATCAAGCGGAAATCTACTGGAGGAATGCTAATATTTTTTTTGAAAAATGCTAATAAAGCATTCAGAATTTCACTCTGAACCAGAGCAGAGGAAATTGCCCAAACCAAGTAGACCAGAGGAAGCAGCTTGTCACCTCTGCTGCTGCGGCACGTTATTAATAAGTTACTGTTTGTTACTTTTAGAATTATATTTTCATTTCTTTGTGTTGATGGATGTTTTTCTGCTGCTGGACACTGCATTTTTTCCGATAAAGGATCAATAAAGTATCTGTCAGACGGTTTTCAGACAAGATACTGAGAACATGGAAGCTGTTTACATAAGAACAACTCTATTCAAATGCTTCCTGCACTGTAAAAAAAAATAAAAAAAAAATAAGATGGATTTGATTCTATTGTAATCTGGATCCGGGACATTTGACATTCAACCACGTCTATGGTCGTTGGTCATCTGCCCGCTATGGACCAATGGCTCTATGTGTTTGTATTGTTCATTTAGCTGAGACAGTGCATGTAAATGAACACACCTCTCTGGATTGTAGCCCGGACTAAATTGGATCCATTGTCCCACATTAGCACTCACAAACACACACTGTTTCACCCTGAACTATTGTACATTTTTTTTGTGGTAGTGGAAACCGGAGGAAACCTACACAAACACAGGGAGAACATGCAAACTCCACCTGTGTTTGAACTATTTGATTCTCTTGCTTCTCTGACACCGCCCACATCAGCTTCATAACATAATTCACACCACAACCCTCCTCCTCCCCATATCCGCCTTGTTCCAGTCCAGCTCTTTCGTCCTTCTCCTCGCTCCCACCACCAGGGTCTAGGCTCCGAGGGATTTCATCTCATTATCTCTTTCCCCTTTTGCAAACGAGGCTGTGCTCTTGAAAATATTGTCATATGTTTAATTTATGTAGTGTCAGATTACTTACAACAAACAATTCTAATAGCCATGTTTTGTCTGATCAACCCAGCTGTCTGTCAGTGACTTCACAATATGGCTGGATCAAATGGACTTTCTCACTGAAATATTTACAAGCTTTCTGTGCAGAGTCCTGACTAGAACCAGGAAGTATATGTCTGGATTTCACTTGACAGATAAGAAACAAAAGCTGAACATTTTGAAAGCATAACCCTCTGGTGGAGCCTAAAGAACTGTGAAGAAGAAAACATATATTTTCTAAGCATTTTAACTGTTGTTTATTTGTAGACTTCTGTCTTTAAATCCAAGGCCAAACCGACTTCACTCCCTCCTCTCTCTCTCTGGAGCTCGCATTAGATCCATCACTTTTACTGCTTCACTGTGTGCCCCTTTAAACCCCCTCTCCACTCCTCACCAGGACTGCTCCAGACTGGACTGCTTCAAACTGGACTGCTCCAAACAGGACTGCTCCAAACAGGACTGCTCCAAACAGGACTGCTCCAGACAGGACTGCTCCAAACAGGACTGCTCCAGACAGGACTGCTCCAAACAGGACTGCTCCAGACTGGACTGCTTCAAACTGGACTGCTCCAGACAGGACTGCTCCAGACAGGACTGCTCCAAACAGGACTGCTTAAAACTGGACTGCTCCAAACTGGACTGCGAAAGCAAACTTTTAACTCTGGTGTTCCCAGAGGTCTCCCATCACAGTGTTAACCAATACCTGTCCTGCTTTGCTTCAGAAGTTAATAGTTAGTAAGTTAGTAAGTAATCTCTATTTATATACCGCCTTTCACAGACCAGAGTCACAAAGCGGTTTACAATTTTTATTTCTGGGCATTTGTCTCTCGCTCCACACAGAGATGGGAGCGGGGCCAGTACAGGAGGCGCATGCCAGACCTATTGTGCATGTTTTTAGTGGTAGGGGAAACCGGAGCACCCAGAGGAAACCTACGCAGACACAGGGAGAACATGCAAACTCCACTCAGAAAGGCCCTGGTCTGACAGGGAATCGAACCCAGGACCTTCTTGCTGAGAGGCGAGAGTGATATCCACTCAGCCACCGTGCCGCCCAATCAGTATCTGGCATTCACCTGCAGGTACAGTATGGCCATAAGTCTGTCCTTTGAATATTGTCTGTATTCTACATTAAAGATGCAGTCGGTGATTTTTTCCAGACGCATTTTTCTTTGTCCCTAAACCCTAAAAGTGTCAAGTTTTCATATGTTTTCAAATAGTAATGAAATTGACCAGATGTCTATAGTCTCCAAAAATTAATAACAAATATTTTGGAGCGGACCGATAAAAATAAACCAATGGTATTCGTTCATCTCCAACGAACCAATGGGATGTGTTTACCGCCTTCACCCTCTTCCTGTTTCTCAGAGTGCACCTGAGTTATCGGATTTACTAAAACCTAAAATGGCTGAACAGAAACGTTTGCTCCACTCTCCCTGTTGTGACAAAGAAAATAAAATGCTGGATGTTTGGTTTGGTGGAGAGGGAGGGGAGGGGGGAGTGGTTTCATGTTGGTGCTAACGGCTAAGCTAACAACATCACTTACTGCACCTTTAAGGCTCCCAAGCAACAAATAATAAATGGTTTTGATTAGCATTAATCCTGTACAGACTATAGTTTTAACCTTTAACATGTTCCACACTTCTGTCTTTTGCACATTCTGAGTGATTCTGTCTGTGCCAAATACAACATGTACATTTCTACATCAGAGATTAATAAAGTTTATCTTATGTTAAAGTATAAGTTCCTAAAACTGGCCAGGTTTATGTTCACTAATACCTTTGTGCTAGAGTACATATGAAGTAGTTTCTCTAGAGATAAATTGTTGGATCCACTCATTTCAAAAACAGAGAAAACATATGTAATATAGTCATTACTGGTACAAATAATAATAATAATAATAATAATAATGAAAACATGTTTTACTGTTTGACTGATTATCTGGTTTAACTTCATCTGAGTCTACATTTTAAAGACAACTCACAGTAGAACAAGGGCATAATAAAGTGGTAGACTTTATAAATGTAATTTAAAGTTTTATTGCAAATTCATATACAAAAAGTTCCCAAAAGACAGTACAAATACATGGCAGAGGAGCATTGGAAACATTGGTAACGTTTGCAGAATTGTGTAACATGTTCCAGTTGGTTTCACTCAACAAAAAGTTGGATAACAGTTAAAAAGACAAAAACATACATAGAACACATATTTAATATTAGATAAATAAACAAAACAAAGATTACAGAGAGTACCATTAGATCTAAGTACCCCCAGGGGCGAAAATGGGAAATAATAATAATGCTTTCTACAATAGTATCGTTACACGTATACGAAGCCAAACCAAAATAATTACTTTGAAAATAACATTAAAGCTAATAAATAAATAGATTTGGTCGCTGTGGAGGAAGGTGTGGGCGACTGCAGTGACACCCAGAGGTCAGAGGGCACTTCCTGTCGCGGTCAGGGCCACGCCCCTTCAGACAGGAAGTGGATCCTCCGACAGAACAGAAGCGACCGCAGCGGCGAAGGCACGGACGGCGAGGAGGACTATTGCATCATCAGAGACCGCTCAAAAACAACACGCGGTCGTCGTACCGAGAGAGAATCGGGAAAAGTCTGTTCCCACGAGACCAGCTGACCAGCACAAGTACACATCTATCACAATTTTGTTTCTTCAAAAAATGGGAATAAATAACAAAACTAGTGATAAAAAAGAATGGACAAAAGCATTTAAATACAGGACTGTGGGCGCCCCTCCCTCCCCACCCCCAAACTCATGAACTGCCAGCATATGAGAAAGAACACAGTACCTACTAAAATATTCACAATCCATAAGTCCTCACAGAGGAATCTCATAAGTCTCTCTAAAAATATATAGTTTCTATCATGATAAAAGAACAAGGCACGGAGTGAGCCAAAGTCCAGCTCCTTCTGATTCAAGTGTCTCTGGGGCTCGGAGTCTTTCTGCGTCATAACAAAACTGTAGAAGCACAACTTTAAACTGTACATCAGGGGTCTCCAGCCTTTCCCTGGGGAGCTACACCGGAAGAGAGCTACACCAGAAGAGAGCTACACCGGAAGAGAGCTACACTGGAAGAGAGCTACACTGGAAGAGAGCTACACCAGAAGAGAGCTACACTGGAAGAGAGCTACACCAGAAGAGAGCTACACTGGAAGAGAGCTACACCGGAAGAGAGCTACACCAGAAGAGAGCTACTCCTTTAGACATTGTTTAAGCCGTTTATCTTGATTTGAAAACATTTTAACATTCTCTAAACAATGGAGTAATCAGCTTTAGTCTTATTTCCAGCACATTTCCAGCAAATGTACGTCTTCTGTTGGAAACTGTTGTTTTAGGTCAAAATGGTCTCAAATTAATTGAGCCAAATCTGGGCATATTCTAACTAATTTTGGCACTTTTTGTTGCAGTTGCTGCAGAGGAATCTTTCGTAATAATTCTTATATTCACTAAAATGATCCTTTGTGGAGCTACTTTGTCGCGGGTGCGAGCCACAGATTGGAGACCCCTGATGTTGTGATGTCACACCACAGCTGTGTCCGTGCTCTGCTCAGGGCCGGGTGAGCTGGGTGTAAACAGGGGCCTGGTCCCAGTGCTGGGGGCTGGTCTGGGGGATGGAGGGGACCCCCGCGTTGTCTGCGATGGGGGTGTACATGGGCCTCTGGCTGGGGCTGCTCATGTAGCTGAAGCTGGAGTAGAGGCCGGGGCTCTGGGCCGCCCCCGCGTGGCTGTAGTAGGAGGAGCCAGTGGCGTCAGTGTAGTCGTACTGAGCTCTGGAGGAGAAGGAGGCGGGGGGGCCGGGGGGGCTGTAGTGCAGGCTGAAGGGGCTGTAGGAGGCGTGCTGGTGCTGGGGGGAGCCCTGCTGGTCGCTGTAGTGGCTCGGACTTAGCTGCTCCGTCTTGATCTGGGTCCGGTGCTGGCCGTCTGTGGCCCCGGCCCCTGAGCTGCTGCTGCTGCTGTTCCCCAGTGTGGTGAGAGTGTGTCCCTGCGGGCCCTTGGACAGCCAGGCCCCTCCCCCCGGGCTCACAGGGGCCCCGGTGATGCTGTAGCTGCCTGTGTAGCTCACGGTGCTGGCGGAGCCCGGGTGGCCGTTGGGAGGCAGGTACTGGTCGAACTCGTTGACGTCAAAAGTCTCGATGTGCGAGATGACGTCGCTGCTCAGCTCGCCGATGTCCACGTCGCGGAAGTCGATGTTGAGCTGGCGTCCGGCCGGGCCCTCGGGCAGACGCAGCCCCCCCTCCCGCTTCAGGTCTATCTTTCCAGAGCTCACATCAGTCTTAGGGGTGGTGGGGGGGGTGGGAGGCCCCTGGGAACCTGCAATGGAAAAACAAGTAGGATTTTATTAGCCACTATTCATAACTAAGCAGCTAATAACAACTGTCACTTTCTAGACAAATTGTAAAGAGTTGGAGCCATAAATTCTGCAGTATAATTACAGAGCTCATAAAGGTGGGGGGATATTATTGCTCTCATAAATTCATATACGCCTGAACTACACTCACATCTTAAGATTCATTACACACTCGCTACGGCCACCTCAGCAGCTGCTCTGGGCACTGTCCACTGTCCACTGTCCACTGTCCACTGTTCACTGTCCACTGTTTACTTTCTATTGGACAGAAGTTCTATTATTCAAGTATATCGTGACTGAGACCTGTTCGTTCACTGCCCACTGTCAACTGTCCACTGTCAACTGTCCACTGTTCTCTGTCCACCGTCCACTGTTCACTGTCCACTGTCCACTGTCCTCTGTCCACTGTCCACCGTTCACTGTCCTCTGTCCACTGTCCACCGTTCACTGTCCTCTGTCCACTGTCCACCGTTCACTGCCCTCTGTCCACCGTCCACTGTTCTCTGTTCTCTCTCCTCTGTCCACTGTCCACTGTCCACTGTCCACTGTTCACTGTCCACTGTTTACTTTCTATTGGACAGAAGTTCTATTATTCAAGTATATCGTGACTGAGACCTGTTCGTTCACTGCCCACTGTCAACTGTCCACTGTTCTCTGTCCACCGTCCACTGTTCACTGTCCACTGTCCTCTGTCCACTGTCCACCGTTCACTGTCCTCTGTCCACTGTCCACCGTTCACTGTCCTCTGTCCACTGTTCACTGTCCACCGTTCACTGTCCTCTGTCCACTGTTCACTGTCCACCGTTCACTGTCCACTGTTCTCTGTCCACTGTCCACTGTTCTCTGTTCTCTGTCCACTGTCCTCTGTTCTCTGTCCACTGTCCTCTGTCCACTGTCCACTGTCCACCGTTCACTGTCCACTGTCCACTGTCCACCGTCCACTGTTCTCTGTTCTCTGTCCACTGTCCACCGTCCACTGTCCACTGTCCACTGTTCTCTGTCCACTGTCCACCGTCCACTGTCCACTGTCCACTGTTCTCTGTCCACTGTTCTCTGTTCTCTGTCCACTGTTCTCTGTTCTCTGTCCACTGTCCACTGTCCACTGTTCTCTGTCCACTGTCCACCGTCCACTGTCCACTGTCCACTGTCCACTGTCCACCGTCCACTGTTCTCTGTTCTCTGTCCACTGTCCACCGTCCACTGTCCACTGTCCACTGTTCTCTGTCCACTGTCCACCGTCCACTGTCCACTGTCCACTGTCCACTGTTCTCTGTCCACTGTCCACTGTCCACTGTTCTCTGTCCTCTGTCCACTGTCCACTGTTCTCTGACCACATGCTCCAGCAGAAGCTTCACTTTCTCACTCTTCTCCCACTGGGTTTTTAGAGTTGTTTTGTGCCGCTGCAGGAGAGACTAAGTGGAACTAGGGTTCATATTGTGGCGTAACTTGGACTTTTACTGCAAATTTATTTACAAAAACTTCCCAAAAGACAGTACAGAGACATGGAGAGTATTGGAAACATTGGTAAAGTTTGCAGATTTGTGTAACATTTTCCGGTTTGTTTAACTAAAAAAACAGATAACAGTTAAAAAGACAAAAAATACATAAATAGAACACATATTTAATACCAGATAAATAATATCAGTGGGGATGATCCAGGAAACTCGACATTGGACGACATTAATGGGCTTTGTCAATAATTATGGACATTGGTCTGTGTCCCTTATGGACCGATGGATCTATGAGTTTTTTTTATCATTTCATTTCCTGAGTTTGATTCTCTGATCTGCGTTGGCGAATCGACAGCTTTGCAAAGTCCTCCGGGATAACTACTGTTGTGATTTAGGGCGATACAAAACTGAAATGTGAAAGTAAATGTGACTGACCCGAGTGCTCTCCGGGGGAGTGCACCTCTCCCATGCTGGAGGCGGGAGAGTCGGCCTGCTGCAGGGCTTTGAAGATGGCGTTGGGAGAGATGTGCGTCTGCTCGCTGCCGTCCTCAGACTCCTGGCCGTTCTTGACAGACTTCCTCCTGCGCGGCTGGTACTTGTAGTCCGGGTGGTCCTTCTTGTGCTGCACCCGGAGCCTCTCGGCCTCCTCCACAAACGGGCGCTTCTCTGCCTCGTTCAGAAGTCTGTGTGGGAGGGGGCAGCCGTTAGTGGACAGACTCATCGACAAGTTATGATTCTCAAACTCACACATCCACACTCTTAAGAAGAAGAAGACAATATACCTTTGATACCACTGGAAAAGTAACTAAAGTATCTCATCATTTATTTATAGTGTTTCAAGTTCAGACCAGAATAGAACAAAACTTATGATAACCTCTCAATACCATTTTCAAACTGTCCTAAAAATAAATAAAAAACGCACACACACACACTCTCTCTCTCATACACAGAGAAAGTAGAGATAGAATATCATATAATGACTTAGAATCAGATCAAAAATGCTATTACATTAAAAGTAGCGTAATGACGTAGTGGCTGAAGTTGTGTGGAAGGACACACAATCAAGTAACACACTAGACCAACTAAACTATAATCAAACTTTCATTTCAAAACACACACACACACATACGCACAGAGAGCGAGATAAAGAGAGAGAGAGAAAGAGAGAGAGATGGCATTGCTGAGTATGCATAATTCAAGTTGCACAATGTAAAGTAGTGCCTGCAGTTGTGCCACACACACACACACACACACACACACACACACACACACACAAACAGCAACATTACAATGGCACAACCTCATCAGCGCAAAATGGAAATGGTCAGTACATTAAAAGTAGGAGACACAAACTGCACCAACCACACTTCCATAGACACACACGCAGACACACAACTCTGCAGTCTCACCTCCAGAGTTTCCCCAGAGTCTTGCTGAGCTCCGCGTTGTGCAGATGTGGATACTGGTCCGCCAGCTTCCTCCGAGCCGCCTGCGCCCACACCATGAAGGCGTTCATCGGCCTCTTCACATGCGGCTTGTTCTTGGATGATCCGTTGGCGCGCACGGGCATCGGCACCAAGGTCCAGTCGTATCCTTTCAGCACCTGGGACACTGCCTCCCGGATGCAGGCGGGGAACTTGTCCTCCTCGTCCTTCTTCAGCTCGGACAGCAGCACGTCGCCTCTGAGCAGTCCGTTCTCAGAGGGACGCGTGTTCTCTGCGTCCGAGCCGGAGCCGGAGTGACAGGGCGATCCAGCGGAGTCCTCAGACATGCTGGGACTCGGGGCGCTGTCTTGTTCCTCCGTCATCTTCAGGTACGGGTCGAGGAGATTCATGCGCGAAACTTGAGTGACGCGAAACGAATCCAAAAGAATGGAACCAGCGCGCGTAAAGTTACTGACGCAAAACGGCAACGAAAATGTCCCGGTTTCTGCCACTTCTTCTTGATCAAGTCCCACAGATGTCCAGCGAACCTATGAGCTAAAAGAAAAGTGCCTTGTCCTGGAATCTCCAAGTAGAATCCCCAAAGTCAGGCGCGCACTGCTGTGATCGGCTGTGGATGTGCGTCCTGCCTTTATAACAGCGTTACCATGAGCTCAGGAAAGCCCAGCGGCGATTGGCTGATCCAGTGTGACGTCAGAGTGAGACGCATCTGAGCCAATTCATCCCCCTTTTTCCAAAGCACCAGCTCCACCTCACACACTGCACATAAACACACATATATACACACACGTACACAACAGTAGCACAGGGACACACTACACATACATACGTACACAACAGTAGCACAGGGACACACTACACATATATACGTACACAGCAGTAGTACACACACATACACTACACATATACATACACAACACTATTCAAAGTTTTAGACATAGGATATTCACGAGCAGAAGATATATATTTACCCCTAGTGCTGTACTTCTACTAGAATAAATCCCATACTTTATAATCTTGAAAATGAAAAAGGGAACCAAAAAAAAATATATTTTTTTCTTGCAAAATGTTTAAGTCTTTGACCTTTCTGTCTATGAATGTAATATCTGTTATTAATCAATCATAAAACAATCCGATTAATTATTCTGACAATGTTTTACTTTCACTTCTTACTTTTTAACCCAAATATCTGTACTTTCAATACTTTTGTTTTGTCCTGTATCCTGTATAGATGGACTTATTGATATTAACTCTTGTGAAGCATTGTAGCCACTTATCTCTGTGTATGTTGTGTGTTCCTTGTGTGCCCTCACGGCCCTGTATGTGCGCTGCAACACTGACAATTCCCCACTGTCTTTTAGTCGTTTCTGCCAAAGTTACCTCCTCCCAATATTCTTAAATCAGAATGCAGAGACCTATGATGTAGTGAGTACGCACACTAAAGTCTATGGCTTTCACTGGACATGACACGTATGGAATCACAAAGAACCAGTATTATATGTTTTTGTAGGATATACTTGGTTCTCCTGCTCCAGCGCCTGCAGTGCTCGCCCTGGACAATAGGGGGAGACAGCAGCCCTAGAAACCAGCCGCTCCCTCCCTCCAGCTGCTGCCTCTGCTCTGTTCAGAATCAGCTTCAGGAAAGTCCAGTGGCAGAGCGAAATCCTGGTAAATGTTGGATTCTACTCAGATTTAGTGAAGAAAATGCTGAATAAGATTATCTCCTGTGACACTGCCAGTTTGTCTGTTAGATATTAACAACAGACGCTGAAAAGTCTCTTCACATGTCATTATTCTTTCACTCCAAACAGTCGTGATTTTCTGTAGCCACGGCTGCCCTGGGGCACATCCACAGAAGCAAGACAACCAGTCTATGCCATCAACCACCACCACCAACCATTCACACACACACCAGACTCATTCTAATGTGGGTGAAGTGTCTGGCACCTTACAGCCACAGCCGTCCCACTGTGGCACCTGATGTTCACAGAAGTCTCCCATCACAATATTAACCAAGCCCTGCCCCACTTAGCTTCAGAGGTCTAACAGGGTCTGGCTTTCTCTTGTAGGTGAATGTTTCTACTACATTTTTTCTTTCTGTTATGGACATATTCTCCCACACAATCCACAAAAGTTACTGTCAGTGGTAGGAGCGGCTGTCTGATGTTGTTGGAGTATACAGAGATAGATACATACATTTATGAATTGATACTTTATTGATCCCTGAAGGAGAAATACAGGAGTCCACATCCATCCAGACAAAAAAATAAATATATAATTGTAAACGTTTCTAAAAATGGCAATAACGTAGTGGTCGTAATAGTAACTAGGCCAGAGCAGCAGAGGTGGTGATGAGATAAGATAGACTTTTTTGATCTCACACTGGAGACATTTACAGGTTCAATTTGGCACAGACAGAATCACATGATGAGCTGCTTCCTCTGGTTGCTGTTTGCAGAGTCTGCTTGGTTCGGACCATTTTCTCTGCTCTGGTTCAGGGTGAAATTCCGACTGTTTTATCAGAATTCTTCCTAAAAACATTTGCCTTCCTGCAGTGGATTTCCTCCTGATCCTCTTGGTTGGGACCAGTCTCTCTGCTCTGGTCTGGATCAGTGTCAAACCATGGACACTTTACTGCAGCAACTTATACAGACAGAAAACAGCAAGAAAAATAACAAAACGACAACTGTTTCGAGCGACTTTCTCCCGTTTCCAGTGCATTTCAAACGTAAACATGCTGCACTTGAGTCGTGGTATTAGCAAAGTCTGGAGAACCACTCACAGATTGGTGATACGACTGTTAAAAAAGTAAAAGTAAACAAGTTTTTACAATCAAATTGGCTTATATCACATCGTCCAATCAGCTTCTGCCCCTGCGCTGAAGCCCCGCCTCTCTGGTTGTTTATTATGCTTTGTGGAGATGTGGAAATGTAAATCTGGCTCCGGCGGCTTAATGTGGACAACATGTGCTACCTGAAGTTGCTTTTAATAGCTCACAGATGTCAGTTTCAGCTAATTTCACCTCTGGTCACACAACCCTCACCCACAACTCTCTCTAATCGCTAATTTAGCAGTGTCCCTTGTTTCTGCGCCGCCACACCAAGTCCTGCTGTGTTTTTTTCTCTCTCTTTGACCAATTAGCTCACACTGAAGCCTGACATTGTAACGGCTGGGGTTTATTTACATGTGCAGAGCTTGTTTCATATCTTCACTTTCAGCACAAACACTGGGAGTTCAGCTTTGAGCTAAACGGCTGCGAAAGGTTCAACGTTTACTGCGGACAGGACTGTAGCGGCGCGATACAGCGACAAAACAACTGCTCTATGTAAAGGGCTGGAAGGTGGGAAGAGATATGGAAACAACGGTGTCATCTTTGAGGACAAAGTTTAAATCCCCAAGTTCTACCATGCTAAATTTACAAGATACAAGAATTTATTTGCCATTTGCAGTAAAAGGGGTCACAGTGGCTTAGTTGGTAGTAAATTACATCAAGGCATGCAGCAAACAATACTTCTGCGCTCCTTATTCGCAAAGTGGGGTAAAGTGTCTTGCTCAAGGACACAGCAAAAGCAGACAGTGGGAGTCTGTGGAGAAGGTCTAGTGGGCTCGAACCTACGACCTTTAGGTTCACAGGCCAAAGCTCTACCAACTGAGCCACTGTCGCCCCAAGTAGAGGAAGGGGAAACCGGAACACCCAGAGACACAGGGAGAACATGCAAACTCTACTCAGAAAGACCCTGTTCCTATTGGGATTTGAACTCAGGACATTTTAACTGAGAAGTGAGAGTGCTAACGACTCAGCCACTGTGCCGTTTTAAAGCCCAGACCGTGGCAAATTCAGTCACTTTTAGAACCCATGTTGTCGGCTCCTGGACCAGTCTGGAGAAATATGATGAATTATGTTTAAGACCGATTTTTTTGTGTGCAGTGTTCGGCGTCTCGCTTCTGTCGTTCTGTGAGGACAGTTGGAGGAAGTATATCGGTATTCCTAAATTGTAAAGTGTTTTATGAAATGTGCTATATGATTAAAATGAAACACTGCATGTCTGAGGACTGGCCTCCTGCTGGGACTCTGAGGAGCACAGGGACTGGCCTCCTGCTGGGACTCTGAGGAGCACAGGGACTGGCCTCCTGCTGGGACTCTGAGGAGTACAGGGACTGGCCTCCTGCTGGGACTCTGAGGAGCACAGGGACTGGCCTCCTGCTGGGACTCTGAGGAGCACAGGGACTGGCCTCCTGCTGCAGCCTCCCAAATTCATGCAGCTAAAATCTTATTTGATGAAATCCAACACTTGACAGTTGACATTTTCAATGTTGTGCCCAATGTTTTATATATTTTCAGTGTAACGTCTGGAATTGCCAGCACTTATAGAAATGTAGACGAGAACATAAGCTTTAAAAGGATTTATAACTTGTGGGTTGTAATGACCAAAATACATTTACTAACACAATAGAACACTGAAAAATAAAAGTCAAATGACACACAAATCGCTCTTCTTAATAACCCGGACTATTACGAGACTATTTTTTTTATATTATGCGGTAGAATAAATATTATTGCTGTCACACATTAGTCGCTCCAGAGTCTAACCCCCGGCAAAACTCTGACAAAACCTGCGACCTTAAATATGAATAATACAGTGCTGTGATCATGATTTGAATGCCTTCTTTGACTGTTTCTACTTCTGCAGCACTTTGAGTTTCCTTGTGTCTGAACCGTGCCATACAAATAAACCTGCCATGAGTGAGGATGCACCATTACATCATGCCGGAGCCGCCAGCTGTGGTGTCATGGCTGCGTACATCTGGCCCCGTCGCCTCCTCAGCTTACTCTCGGTCTTAGGCCTCATTCCGGATCCTGATCATCTAAATCTGGACTAAGCTTTGGCAGAGCCGGCCTGTTTCTCTAAAGCTCTCTGTGATTGTGAGCGAGCGGCTCCGGCCTCCGTCTAAATAAGAGTCAGATGAGTTTCAGGAATGGCTCTTTACGTTCGCATTAGACTCTGAGGTTTGAGCTGAATATTTGGCATATTTGGGCGAGGTTATGACTGGTGCAATGTTTAACGTTTTCAGATTCAAAATGATGTGGTTAGGTTTAAGGAAAGCCAATTTGTTTAAATCGCTAAAAGTCATATGAAGTTAGTATTTGAGTTTTAGCCAATTGTTTAAATGAGTTATGACAATTCTAAATCACCCTTGGACAGCAGAACCCACCGTACGTGTGTGTGCCTTATGGGAGTCCATGTTGTATGTCAGCTTTCTCTCTCACAGCAAGAAGGTCCTGGGTTCGATCCCCAAGACAGACTTTGTAGAGACTAGTTTAGTTCATTTTACTTTTAATCAGATTAGTTTATTAAAGATATATAGGAGGGTTTTCCCAAATGTTAGGAAAGAACCGCGCTATCCACTTTTTGATGAGCACGTATCACCAGAATGATTGACAGTTGGGAGGACCAATCGTCTTGATGATCCGCCCGGAAGTAGAAAATCCTCTTGTATACATCCTTCTCAGAGACCAATCAGCCACTGAGGTGCACACACTCATACACTGTCCCCATCAAAATATAATAAGATATTGTGATAAACACATTTTTTAAGGGCCAATTTGGTGAAATCAAAAAATTATCTTAACAAGTTTTATAACATTTATTAAGTAAGTAAGTAATGTTTATTTATATAGCGCATTTTTACAGACCAAGGTACATACCCAAAGCGCTTTCCAATGTTCAGAGTCAGATATTGTTCTAATCCTTCCACACACGGTGATGACAGAAGCGAGTCCAGAACACACTGGACCATCAGCTCCAACACCATCCATTCACTCTCTCATTTACATTCAGACCTATTGTGCATGTTTTTAGTGGTAGGGGAAACCGGAGCACCCAGAGGAAACCTACGCAGACACAGGGAGAACATGCAAACTCCACTCAGAAAGGCCCTGTTCTGACCGGGATTATTAAGAATGAACACAGATATTTTATTGACCCCACAGCTCCACCTCCCCTCCCCATTTGCGTAGGATGAAGTCTACAAACTCTTCCTGAGGCTGCATCCAGGAAAGACCCCGGGTCCTGACGAGTCTCTCCTGCGACCTGCTGACATCTTTAACCCCTCGCTGGAGTCAAGACCTCTACCATAGTCCCTGTCCCCAAGAAGATCCGGATCACTGGACTTAATTACAACAAACCAGTCTTCCCCCACCTCAAGTCCTCCACCTCCGCCCTCCTGGACCCCCTGCAGTTCGCCTACAGAGCCAACAGATCTGTAGGCGACACCTTCAACCTGGCCCTCCACCACATCCATGTACTTCCTGCGGCAGCTCAGGGAAAGCCAAGCTACCTGCACAGACGTTGGTGAAGTTCTACACGGCCATCATCGAGTCCATCCTCACCTCCTCCATCACCTTCTCCATCACCTCCTTCATCACAGCACCTCCTCCATCACCGTGTGGTTCGCTGGAGCCACAGTCAGGGACAAACAGAGACTACAGCGCATTGTGCACTCTGCAGAGGAAGTGATCGGCCGCAGCCTTCCATTGCTGCAGGACCTGTACGTCGCCCGAGCTCGAGGCCGGGCTGGTCGTATCACAGCCGACCCCTCTCACCTGCACATGGACTATTCCAACCTCTCCCCTCGAGCATTTGGACCAGAACCTCCTGCCATAAGAACGGGGTTTCTTCCCGTCTGCTGTTGGATTCTTGAACACTTTATAACCTGCCTCCCCCGCCCTTTATAAAGTCACCTTACTGCCCTTTATAAAGTCACCTTACTGCCCTTTATAAAGTCACCTTACTGCCCTTTATAAAGTCACCTTACTGCCCTTTATAAAGTCACCTTACTGCCCTTTATAAAGTCACCTTACTGCTGTCACCTTACTGCACATTGTGTGCACCAAGTGCAGTTGTATATTGTATTTAGTAAATTGTAATAATTTTAAATTTTACACCTTATTACCTGATTTTTATTATACCTTCTTCTATTCTGTACCTCTCTTTTCTGACTGTTGCACCGAGAGCCAAAGCTAGTCTGTTTCTTACATCGCAATAAAAATGATTCTGATTCTGAGGGTGATGAATTAGAGTAAATGTATTAGAGTAAATGTATTAGAGTGAATGTATTACAGTGAATGTATTAGAGTAAATGTATTAGAGTGAATGTATTAGAGTGAATGTATTAGAGTGAATGTATTAGAGTGAATGTATTAGAGTGAATGTATTAGAGTGAATGTATTAGAGTGAATGTATTAGAGTGAATGTATTAGAGTGAATGTATTAGAGTGAATGTATTAGAGTAAATGTATTAGAGTGAATGTATTAGAGTGAATGTATTAGAGTGAATGTATTAGAGTGAATGTATTAGAGTGAATGTATTAGAGTGAATGTATTAGAGTGAACGTATTAGAGTGAACGTATTAGAGTGAATGTATTAGAGTGAATGTATTAGAGTGAATGTATTAGAGTGAATGTATTAGAGTGAATGTATTAGAGTGAATGTATTAGAGTGAATGTATTAGAGTGAATGTATTAGAGTGAATGTATTAGAGTGAATGTATTAGAGTGAACGTATTAGAGTGAATGTATTCGAGTAAATGTATTAGAGTGAATGTATTAGAGTGAATGTATTAGAGTAAATGTATTAGAGTGAATGTATTAGAGTGAATGTATTAGAGTGAATGTATTAGAGTGAATGTATTAGAGTGAATGTATTAGAGTGAATGTATTAGAGTGAATGTATTAGAGTGAACGTATTAGAGTGAATGTATTCGAGTAAATGTATTAGAGTAAATGTATTCGAGTGAATGATGAATGAATGAGAGTGAATCCATAGGGTCCCAATTATGGCGGCGGGTCCGCACTCTTCTTAAGCTGCCTCACTTTGGATCTATTTTACATTAATTAAACGGTTGCCAAGATGTGTTCTTAAATCCCTCTTTGTAAAAGTCAGGAAGTGGACTGAGCCGTGGTTTGTTCGCGTCTTAAACCTGAAGCCACACGTGCACTGAGGCTCGTAATTAAAAATCTCCCGTTACTTCCTTCTTACCTTCGCTGACCCCGACCCCACAACCCTCTGCACCGGGGGCTCGTTTCATGTCTCTGGGGAGATGTGGATGGAGACCAGATGACGTTGGTCGGTATTGTGCAATAGTATATCAGAATGTGCAATATAGAACCACATGTGTCCACTGTCACTCTCCATATAGGTGCAATCATAGCCTGTATAATGTCAGATTGTGCAATATAGAACCACATGTGTCCACTGTCACTGTACTCATAGGTGCAATCAGAGCCTGTATAATGTCAGATTGTGCAATATAGAACCACATGTGTCCACTGTCACTCTCCATATAGGTGCAATCACAGCCTGTATAATGTCAGATTGTGCAATATAGAACCACATGTGGCCGAGACAGTGGCCGAGTGGATACCTCTTGAATACCTCTACCTTGCTTGAATTCCACCAGGCCTTTCTGTGTGAAGTTTGTGAGTTCTCCCCGTCTCTGCATAGGTTTCCTCCTGGTGCTCCGGGTTCCTCCTGGTGTTCCGGTTTCCTCCTGGTGCTCCGATGTCCCCTACCACTAAAACAAGTAGCATAGCTCCAGGTGAATGAGTGTGCGACTGTGGGACTACAAATGCAAGGCCACGATCCAAAGCAGTGTGCTCATTAACATATACCGTCCCAAACTAATACATAAATAAACTAATACTCAATAAATACACCCCCCCCCCCCCCACTTTTGAATGAGGAGACTAACACTGGGCCCCTGTTCACAGCCCTGCCTGCTGGAGTCGCGGCCCTCGGGAACCACCGAGGGCCGCGGACACACAGTGCAGAGTCTGTCCGTCTCATAGCTCCATTCAGCTGTGGTTTGGAAGGTGGCGGTCGATGTAGGTGGCTCCTGAAGATGGAGACTCATGAGCTGCCTGCTTAAGTGCCATTAGACAACATTCTGATGCATCCAAATGTTGATTTACTGCAGCTAATCCGTCACCCCTGGCTTGCACTTGGCGTTATACCATTGCCTATATTTGTCAGGCAATTCAGGTTTACAATTCTAATAAGGAAATCCAGGTCTAGGCTTGTCCAAACAGCGGATTTCTTTAACCGGCCCGGCGAGGAGACATAGGCTTTGCGGCGGTGCTAGCTTATACCGTGCACGTTTAGCCGTAGCTGCGGGGTCAGAAAGCAGATATCGGCACCGTTTCGTATCAAAGCTTTCCAGAACAGTGTCTTTACTTTGGCAATGAGTCGTGTTTGGTTCGGATTAGCACTTTTTAATAAACTCATTGGGCTCTGTACATAGTGTTAATGCACACAGCAAATACACGCTAAACCCTTTTGACGTCTGTTGCAATAGTGGAAGCTTAAAAGGTTTAGACAACTTCCCATAAGTCAACATCAGACCTACAAATGGTCTTTGTGGGGAACGGTCTGGGTCCACGTTGAGCCCCGAGGAGAGACTGATGCTTTCACTGGATCTTTGTCTATAATATAAACTTTTTTAGAATCTGCTACATATATATTGAAGAAATATTGTCATTGCTATTTTTTTGAGTCTGAAGTCACTCACAAAGGTCTTGTTTTGTGTTTTATAATTGTTTTTTTCTTTTTTTTTTTCTAGCTGTAAATGTTACTGCAGTACGGTGTTCATGGTTTTACACTTATCCAGACCAACATTCAGAATTTAAGGTGAATGAGTGTGATTTTGTTAAGTGGTAAGTATTTATTTGTTTGTTTGGATGGATGTTTCTGCGGCTGGACACTTGCGTTCCTCCTTCAGGCATCAACGAATCATCTGTCTGTCTATTGTGACTGTCTAAGGAAGGCACAAATCAGGAGCGCTCACTCTGCACTTCCCCCACGTTAGAATGAGTCTGGTGTGTGCGTGAAGAGGGTCAGAGGGTCGATGACACAGACTGGTTGCCTCGCTTCTGTCAGTGTGCCCCAGGGCAGATGTGGCTACAGCAAGCCCCAGTGTTCCAAGATGGCGCTGTATTGAAATGAATGGCTTGTGCTCAGTAGTGCATGGGACTTCACGGGGACAGAAAGATTGTGTGTGTGGCTCTCACGCACGTGCACAGAGGGGCTCGGCCGCGCTCTGACCAATCAGAGCAGCTGATCAGAGCGGAGTTTGTGGCAGTAAAGTGTGGATTTAAAGAAAACCGAAGGATTTAAGAAGAAAAAAAGCTCAGGTTGACAAGGGACACTAAAATCCCCACAAAATCTGACCTTTATGAAAGCTGCAGGTTCTCTGTCAGGTTCTCTGTCAGCTGAGGTCGTGCTGTTTTAGTTTACGGTCAATTCTACGGGTAGCACAAGATAATTTAGTCTGCAGTACCACAGCGTCCCCTGTGCCCATGGGTGGAACAGCTATAAGCCAGTAATACCCTAGTATTATAGATCCATGGGCTACAGTTGTGGTTTATCACTACAGTGTTTGGAGTGAATAAATAATGACATGTGAAGCATTATTATTAATATTAAATGTGCTGTTTTCAAGATGGCTGAACCTTCTTAGAAAACAGAAACCAGTGGATTTCGCTTGTATCAATCGACAGGTCTATCCCAGTACCTTCAGGATGATAATGGGCGGCACGGTGGCTGAGTGGATAGCACCCTAACCTCTCAGCAAGAAGGTCCTGGGTTCGAATCCCGGTCGGAACAGGGTCATGTTCGTATGTTCTCCCCGTGCCTGTGTAGGTTTCCTCTGGGTGCTCCGGTTTCCCCTACCACTAAAAACATTGTCACTAGGCTGAATTCCTCCAGCTCTGGTCCTGACCAAGCCGAGCATCAACATCTGGAGATGGGTTCTCCTGTTACTACGACAACCACTGCTCCTGACATAAGCCATAGTGGTGTTGCTCCTCTGACTAGCGGTTCAGAGGGCATATGCCTCCGTGAAGTAACACCTGTGATAAAAAGTACAGACAAGAGCACATGCGTTGAGCTGCGTTTACTTCAAGAGGATTGATTCTTTCTCATTTGCAATCAATCAGAAAATGTACATTTACTTTTACATTTTTTTCCATATTCACAATAACACGAACTAAATCCATTTTTAACAAGAGCTTTTACATTAAATTAATTACAGTTTTTTAATATTTGAATTTACAAAAAAAACAAAGAAATCGTCTCAATTATTCTCGGTGCTTGTGTACTAATTTAAATGTCCACAAGGTGGCACCAGACTCAGAACTGGACCATGTGCTTTTTTTGCACTTACAATACTGTCTACTGATAATTGTTTAAACAATCAAATAAACTCAACAAAACAGTATTACATGAAATAAGTTGCATAAATGTTCACCAATGCCACTACTCATGTGGTTCTTGTACCATAAAGTGGTGTGGTTCAAGTTTACCCACGTCGCGATTTCCCTACCATGACCATTAGCTTCGCAGGTTAGCATAAAAAACGAGACACATATTCACACAAACCCTCACACAAACTTCACTCTACACATTACCACGGTTCACAATACACTCCTAAGACACCTGATAACTAACAATTGGCATCAACATGTGTTTTTAACGTTTTACCAACCTGTGATAAAAAGTACAGACAAGAGTACATGCGTTGAGCTGCGTTTACTTCAAGAGGATTGATTCTTCCTCTGCAGCGCTCAGTCTACTTTCTACCCACTCTGCGCGATATGCGCCAACTACTGGTCACGGGAGGAACTGCACTTAAAACAATATAGAGATTGTAGTAATCACATGAATAGCTACTAAACAAACAAAAATAAAGTTCTCAATAACAAAATAAAAATGAGGGGTGCCTGTTAATCATTTTGCTCTATTTCCAAGCCTCTACACTCTCCCCCACTTAATTTAAATGTCTCCTGACATTTCACTCACAATACTGAACTAATTCAAAAGAGTGTACCAGTTATACCCATATGGTTGAGGTTGGAAGGAGTATGGAAATGGCACAAAGTTCTGAGCTGCATTTGGCACAGTTGTGGGGACAATGAGAGGTCTTACATCTGCAGTCCAAGCTTGGTATGACGGTTGTCCCAAACTATTATAAGTAAGTCTCTCGACCGGTCTGACAGTCCTCTGTGTCCGTCTCATTTCCCCTTGTTCTCTGTTATTTCCATCCATTTCCATTGGTCCATGTTCCTCCTGCAACAAAGCTGGTACATCCATATGTTCCTCAACAACACATTGTTCCTGTCTCCCAGGTGGGCAAAACTCTCTTGCAGTGGCATTTAGTCTTTGCTGGTTTTGAGCTTGCTTTGGCATTACACATGCTGGTTGCTGAGTGTTAAGATTTGGGCGGTGAGGTTCCATTTGTTGAGGGTTTACAAAACCATACACTGGTATTTGGCTGCGAAGGTTGTAACGGTAAGTATATTCATCTTCATCCTCCGAGCTTTCATTGTCCGTTTTGTCTATGTCTGAATTTGTCTCTGTTCTTTTGGGTTTGTTTTGTCTTTTCTGTTTGACTACAGGATGTTCTTCCAAAGGCAAGTCATTTACGGGAAACAACAGGTTTCTGTGTAGTATGCGCATAGTT